TCACCTCAGCCTCCCAAAAGCGCGGGATTACAGGCTGAGCCACCGAGCCCGGCTGATGCTTTTGACTTCTATTGTAGCTTCATCTCCAGTAAGGGAATGGACACTGGACCATTTGGCATGTATGTTTCTCTTTTTTTAGTACTAAACTGGTGGACAAATTTTATTTTTTTAAAGAGTTCTAATAAAATAATGAATGCTTAGTTCATTTAATGAGTATGTTCTCGTAAATGAAATTAAACTGGTCTCAAAATAAATCTTCTGAGAGTCAAAACATCCTCTGCAAGTAACCAAATTCATTCTCAGAATCAGGACTTTTTTGATGCTTCAATTTCTTCCCATAATTCAGCTTCAATTTTTGAAGTATCATATTCTCTCATCATATCAAACTCAAGCCACGGCCGATTCCACTTCTGGGCATTCTTCATTTGTTCTTCAGTTAAACAAAGATCAAATCTGATTCCTTTAATATTAAACTTTGGACGCTCCCAGCGTTTGGACCAGGGTCTAGGCTTCATTTTTACTTTTAGCTAAGGAGGATTAAAAAAAAAGAATTAGGCTGATACACAGAAGCAAAATTTCTTCTCAAGTTGTAATTAAGATGATTCTTTCTTATTTTATACTTGCACTTCCAGTCTCAAATGCACAAACTGTACCTTATTGACAGGAACTTCTTGGCTAGGTTCTTGTGCTACTGGCTTCATGTTCATATCGTAAATGCTGTACTCAGGAAGGGCATCTCGTAAGTACAGCAAGCTGTCATCCAGCCGTTTCTCTAATTTGACCACTTGGATCTCCTGGATTCGAGGATTATAAAGTTCAAAGCAAATCTCAACACCTACAGAGAAAGCATCCACTTACAATCCAAGTCCAGATTACTACACATGCCTCATACTACAATCAAAGCATTTCATAAAATAGCACAAAGTTTTGCATGTAGGAAATGTGACATAAATTTGTAACTTTTAAGATAAAGATTATTGAAAAAATAAGAGATAAACTAAAATCCATTTAAATAAAAAATCTAAATTAGAATAATATAAAGGAAAAAGTCTTCTATAAATATGTTGAGTATTATATCTCAATTCTGACAGTAATAACTTAGAGAACATCTGAGTAAGTTTTTCATTATGTCATGTTCTTGACATCTCCCCATTACTTGGATAAAAATCAATCTTCTATGTTAAGAGTAATGGGATTAATGATGCAATTTTAACTCCCAACTTTGGTTAGAAGCTCCTCTTTAAGCATGGCCTAGGTTTTTTAACACACTAGGGCCTTGTGCATGAAGCAAGCTAGGAACATATAAAGATACAACAAGTAATAATTTAATAGATATCATCTGTATTATCAAACTCTTAAGAGCAAGAGCGTATTCTGAGGTTTTCCGGAATAATCCCAAGAGAAATAAAATACCATTATATATGATTCAGGATTCAACTAATATTTAACTGGCTTCTGTTAATACCTATTCTGTTCAAGGTACTGATCTGTAGCACAACCAAAATAGAGAAGATCCTTCTCTCATAAAACTTGCACTCTAGTTGATGACAAACAATGAGTAAATAAATCAACAAGGTAATTGCATACAGTAAAGACATTGCACTGTGACTGGGGAGGAGACAACTTTTTTATTTTATTTTATTTTTTTTTTTTTTTTTGAGTTGGAGTCTCACTCTGTCGCCCAGACTGGAGTGCAGTGGCTGCTCCCGGCCACCGCAGCCTCTACCTGCTGGGCTCCGGTGATCCTTCCACCTCAGCCTTCCAAGTAGCTGGAATTACAGGCATGCGCTACCACGCCCAGCTGATTTTTTGATTTATTATAGAGATGAAGTCTTGCTGCCCAGGCGGGTCTCGAACCCGCAGGCTCAGGCAATCCACTCACCTCAGCCTCCCAAAGGCGTGGGATTACAGGCTGAGCCACCGAGCCCGGCTTATTTTATTTTTGAGTTGGAGTCTCACTCCATCGCTCAGGCTGGAGTGCAGTGGCACACTCACGGCCACCCAGCGACGACCTGCTGGGCTCTGGCAATCCTTCCACCTCAATCTTACAAGTAGCCGGAACTACAGGCGCGCTACCAAGCCTGGCTAATTTTGTATTTATTGTAGAGATGAGGTCTCATCGAGTTGCCTAGGCTGGTGTCGAACCCGCAGGCTCAAGCAATCCACTCGCCTCAGCCTCCCAAATTGCTGGAATTACAGGCTGAGTCATTGAGCCCCACCAGGGGACAACTTCAAATAAGTGCAGTCAGGGAAATTATCTCTGAGAAGCAGACTGAAACTACAAAGGGCAAGAATGACAGGCAGAAAGAATAGCAAATGCAAAGGCCCTGGGGTATTAACAAACTTGGCTGCAGCACAGTAACTTAGTGGGCCAGGTGCTATGGTTTGACTGCATCCCCTCCAAAATTCATGTTGAAACTTCATCTCCATTGTGGTAGTATTAACAAGTGGAGCCTTTGAGGAAGTGGCTAAGTCCTAAGGGCTCTGCCTTCATGAATAGATTAGTACCTTATCAAAAGGCTGGGCCCTTTAGTTCTTCTGTCTATCACCATTTGAGGACACAGAGTCCCGTCTCAGCGAGCCCCCCCCAAGAGGACACAGCCACAAGGCACAATCTTGGAAGCAGGAAATGAGGCCCTAGCCCAAATAGACTAAGACACCAGAGACGTAAACCAAAAAGACCGCACAACTACAGGCAGGAGATGATGGTGACATGGATGACAGTGGCAGCAATGGAGAGGGAACAACAGACAAAATTGGGATGTATATTTTGGTGAATGAGCCAAGAAAACTTGTCGATTGACTGAATGTGTGAAAGATAATAAAAATAGCTCCTAGGTTTGGGTAAATGACTGGGCAATGGTACCATTTATGGAAATAGAGAAGACTGTGAGAGGAACATCATGTGATGGGAAATAAAATGCTGTTTCAACTTGTTTGTGCTGATAAGACATCCAGATGAAGATGTTGGTCAGGTAGTTGCATGTACAAATCTGGAACCTGAAAAGGGTCAGGCCCAGAGATACAAATTTGGAAGTTATCATCTATGGATGCTACACAAAGCAAGGGAACAAGAAGGAACCACTAAAGCAGGGAGCATCGACAGGAAGGCAGCTTACAATAGTCAAACACACTCTAGAAAATGGCAAGAGGGAGCTAATACTTCTTGGTGAATATTATGTGTCCAGTTCTTCATGTTCAGTACTCTCAGTTAATTGACTAGAACCCTATGAGGTAGAAACTATTAATACCTCAATTTTAAAGAAGAAAATCAAACCCAGTTCTACCTAACTCACACCTATGCTCATTTCTTTCAATTACAATTATTATCCAAGTACTTGACCTGATTGAAAGCACAAGTTTTTGTGGTCAAGCAAGTCCTGCTTAGCTCCTACATGTACAGCATACCAGGTCATTTTAGAATAAGCAAAGACAGCAACTGCTCTCCCATTTTCAATGCATTTGAGAATAAAAATACTTGGGAATCATGACACATACTACTTCAAGTATAAAAACTTTACTGTTCCTGCAATTTTAATTATTAATCTTTCTAAAATTTTACACTTGTTCCTTTGCCTTATTAAGCACAGTATGCAAACATAATTTTGCCTTTCTTAAATGGCTTCAAGTCTTATTGAGACAATGACAAATTTGGTGACTATTTTGTGCCATAATATAAAGGAAAATATGGGCATTCATTTTAGGAAGAAGTAACTCATGAGGACTTTATTATGTTTGTCTTTATGTTCTCATGGGTTATTTACTCCTAAAATGAATGTCCCCACACTGCTTTATAGTCACTTATTCCCTCCCTTGATGTTGCCATGGTTTGGAAAGCCTACTTCTAACAGCTGTTGTCTCTGGGCTTTTTTTGTTTTGGGGGTTTTTTTTGTGTTGGCGTCTTACTCTGTCACCCAGGATGGAGTGCAGTGGCATGCTCACGGGCACCGCTGCCTCAACCTGCTGGGCTTAGGCAATCCTTCTGCTTTGGCTTTCCAAGTAGCTGGAACTACAGGAACATGCCACCATGCCCAGCTAATTTTTTGATTTATTGTGGAGACGAGGTCTTGCCAAGCTGCCCAGGCTAGTCTCGAATCCCTGGTCTAAGGCAATCCTCTCACCTCGGCCTCCCAAAGTGCTGGCATTACGCTTGAGCCACCGCGCCCAGCTTGCTGTCTCTGTTAATACAAGAGGCCTTCAGGAGAAAGCAGACCAGCAATCATATTTAATCAGTAACCTCAATTCTTAATCGACTCTAAGGCTAGGGGCTCTATGTCTTTCCTTAGAGTCTCCTTTCACTTTCAAGTTTCAGATTTCTTATCCCAAGATGCAGAAAACACAAAGGAATCCTGAGCTAACATTTTCTAGACAATCAAAATAATGAAACATACCTTGTCCTTCGATAGTATTTCTAAGGATAAAAGTAGCTCCAAGTCCTTTTCCTGATCTCTGAATGCAAATCCCCAGAAACTGGTTGGTTTTTCCCTTAGCATATGGGTCAGCTGTAGTAACACGAAGTATGCTTCCTACAAATTCAAAGAAGAAGTGAACTTTTATGCAAGAAGCAAAAGCAAATAAAATTTCTAGGTAACGTCTTCCTAAATTTTTTTTTTTTTTTGAGTTGGAGTCTCACTCTGTCGCCCAGACTGGAGTGCAGTGGCCACTCTTGGCCACTGCAGCCTCGATCTGCTGGGCTCCGGCAATCCTTCCGCCTCAGCCTTCCAAGTAGCTGGAGCTACAGGCGCCCACTACCACACCCAGCTAGTTTTTTTATTTATTGTAGAGATGATGTCTCACCAAGTTGCCCAGGAGGGTCTCAAACACGCGGGCTCAGGCAATCCACTCACCTCCTCCCAAGGCGCGGGATTACAGGCTGAGTCACTGAGCCCAGCCCTAAATATTTTAATATTAAGAATAAATACCTCATATGGGCAAAATATAGATACGTGAAAAGCAAATTTCTCCGTGTAAAGAAAACTAACCCTCCAACCACTAACAATAAAAGCATAAGCATGCAGTTCTTACTGACCAACATAGAACTCTGGAATGTTGAGTACTTTTCTCCTTTCTAACATATCTTTTCTTTCTATCTGAAATTTTAGAGGATTTGTTCTTCCCCTTGGAGGAATGAATTCAGGGCTCAAGAACCTGTGAAAAATATAAACAAAAAAAATTAAAAGTAAACTAAAAAGGCCACAAGACAAAAAAACTGTTGCTTTACAGAGAAATGAAATATGATGTTGATGTGCTTTATCCTGCACTAAGAAACGTCAATTTTATTTCTTTTTTAAAATGTTTTCATGTTGATTTTGTGCAGTGAGAAGTCAATTTTATTTCTAAAATTGTTAATGATCATGAAAACAGCCAACAGTTCCTGAGCACTTAACTGGTATTTTAAAAGCTTTATTAAACATCTATAGCATAAATTATTTCTTACTTAAACCATGTAGATTTGATGTTATCACCTCCTTTTCACAGATGAAGAAACTGAAGTTTGGAGAAAGTAATTTATCTGTTAATATATTAACTATAAATCTGTCAAGTCAATATTTAAATGTGGGCATGCCTATCAGTCTCCAAAGCCTATCACCACAACTAAAGGCTTCACACTGAGCTATATAGGCTATAATAAATTATGTAAGAATAGATATCGACATATAAACTGTAAGCTGACCTTAAAAGCAATCTTCCTTTTTTCTTATTTGATTTTAAACTCATTATGAAATATTTGCTCTACACAAAAAGTATAAATGATCTGTGTACGGTGGCTCAAGTCTGTAATTTCAGCACTTTAGGAGGTTAAGGTGGGAAGATTGCTTGAGCTCAGCAGTTCAAGACCAGCCTAGGCAATACAGAAAGACCTTTTCTCTACAAAAAATAAAAATAAAAATAAATTAGCCAGGTATGGTGGTTTGTGCCTGTAGTCCCAGCTTATTCGGGAGGCTGATTTGAAAGGATCGCTTGAACCCAGGATCTCAAGGATGCAGCGAGCCATGATCATGCCACTGCATTCCAGCCTGGGTGACAGAAAGAACCCAACTCAAAATATAGGAAAAAAAAAAAAAAATATATATATATATATATACACACACACACACAGAAAATATATATATTTATATATATATATAATTATTATATGTATAAGTGACACAATAAATATTCATGTCCCTACCACTCACTCCAAGACATAAAATATCAATATAGTTGAAGCTCCATGCATCCCTCCCTACTCCCCATAGTTAGTTACTATCCTAAATATGGTAATTATTCCTATGAATTTTTTCCTTTTCCTTAATTTTCTACTTCAAAATGTTGAAAACTATCAAAAAACTGAAACAGTAATACAATGACCACCCATATATGCTATACCTACTTTTACCAACTGCCAAAATTTTGCTATATTTGCTTTGTGTATATAAATATAATGTTATATTATATATATATATAATAATAAATTATGTAAGAATAGATATTGACATATAAACTGTAAGGCATTTTATTCCTCAATGATTTCGAAGGCTTATGTTAAGAATAAGGACTTTCCAAGCTGGGCACGGTAGCTCATACCTATAATCCCAGCATTTTGGGAGGCCAAGGTGAGAGGACTGCCTGAGCCCACGAGTGCAAGACTAGCCTGGGCAACATGGTGAGACCTCATCTTTACAATAAATCAAAATATTTTCCAGGCGTGGTGGTGCATGCCTATGGTTTCATTCAGCTACTTGGAAGGCTGAGGCAGAAGGATTGCCTGAGCCCAGCAGGTCGAGGCTGTGGTGGCCGGGAGCGTGTCACTGCCCTCCAGCCTGGATGACAGTATGACAGTGAAACTCCTACTCAAAAAAAAGAATAAGGACCTTCCACCACTGCAATCGAGCCTGGGAGACAGAACCAGACTGTCTCAAAAGAGAAAAAAAAAAAAAGGAATAAGGACTTTCTTCTATATTAGCACAATAACTTTATAAATCTAAGAAAACTAGCATTAATTCAATAAATCAATATAATATATAGTTCACATTCAAAAGTACCCAATTATCTTGAAAAGGACTTTTACATCTATTTGTTGCCCAATCCAAGGTACAGTCAAGCGTCACACATTGTATGTAGTTGTCAGTCTCTTAAACTTATATCTCATCTTTGTTTTGTTTTTTTTTTGAGTTGGAGTCTCACTCTATCGCCCAGACTGGAGTACAGTGGCCGCTGTCGGCCACTGCAGCCTCGACCCACTGGGCTCCAGCGATCCTTCCGCCTCAGCCTTCCGAGTAGCCGGAATTACAGGCACGCGCTACCGTGCCCGGCTGATTTTTTTATTTATTGTAGAGATGAGGTCCCGCCAAGTTGCCCAGGCAGGTCTCGAACTCGCTGACTCAGGCAATCCACTCACCTCAGCCTCCCAAAGCGCGGGATTACAGGCTGAGCCACCGAGCCCAGCTTCATCTTTGTATTTTTATCACATTGCCTTTTTTATCGATCAAAGACTACTATTTTGTAGATAACCCCTGGATTCTACGTTTATTGTTTCCACATGCCTAGACTGAAGCAAACATTTTTGGTAAGAATATTACAGAGGTGATGATGTGAACTTATTGTTGCATCAGGAGGTACATAATAACAGCTTGTACCATGATTAAACTTAGGTTTAAATGCTTGGTAAAGTTAGAGAATGTCTCCCTTTCACTTCTTTATACTTTAAATAGGCATGCATAATCAGGCTTGGTAGCTCAGCCTGTAATCCCGCGCTTTTGGGAGGCTGAGGTGAGTGGATTGCCCGCGGGTTTGAGACCCGCCTGGGCAGTGAGACCTCATCTCTACAATAAATCAAAAA